TGAAATTATATATTATTATTATAGGATTAATATATGAAATGACGTTTCTCTATAATTCTCTGCATCAGAAATCCCGATCTTACGAAAATGAAAATCTTGTGATGATTAGGCCGTCGAATGGCACCACGTTGATGTACGTCATAGTTGATAGGATAAAGAAAAACATGACGATAAAAAAAATTGTTGTAACAAAAGAACAATCTTGCAAACCTCGAAACAAAAACATAATGAAGCAAGAGAAATTAAATATTTTCGTAGAAAAGAAAAAAGAATCGAATTTCGGTTCTCAAAAATATCGAATTGAATAGTTATTATGATTGATTGTGGAAACTTCGGCGTTTTCATAGCTTTTCTTGCGAAGATCGCTTACTTAGAAAATTTTAAACTCAGATTATTATGAAAAAAGAAAAAGAAAAAGAAAAATATGGTTCAAAAATTGAAATAAAGTTTCGAAAAAAAAATAACAAATAAGAGTCATCATCTTTTGTTTTTTTTATACATGATGGCATACACCTCCATCATATTCTTGTACAATCATTGTGAAACATGTTATAAATATCCAATATCTGTCTGATATGTTAATTTTAAATGATATCGATTGTTTCACAGTATTTCAATTTCGATCATGAGAGTATGAATACAAATCTTAATTGTATTAGATATTTTCAAAAAAGAAAACCCTTTTTGTTTTAGTTTACTAACGTATATTTCACTTCGAAATGTAGGATTCTTAAAACATAAATTACAACTGAATTCATCGTCTGATTTATGTGATCGATCGAAATAATCTGATCTATTTTCATTTTTCACCAAAAAATCTCTTTCAATATACACATGTTCTATGATAGTAAGATTCATTTTCCTCACACTCTTATCTACATTTTTAAATATTGAACTTCATCAGTATTTTTATCAAAACAAAATGTTAAATTAATGATCTTATTACAATAACTCATGCTTAGTAACTTATTTCAAAGAGAACAAAATGAGGAGTCACCATATTTTCTACTACTCTTCCTTTAAAAAGTTAAAAGCATTACAAAAACCAATAAATCTCGAGAAAAAAAAAAAAAGCCTTTTTCCGATTTTTGTTATACTTTTAAACTTTTAAGAAAAGCTAGTAGACAATGCAGAGACCTCTTATCTTGTTCTCTTTAAACAAGCATTGTTAAAAATAGCTCCAACAAAGTCTTCGGGAACCTAAAAACTATCATGTCCAGTTTTTAGAAATCATACCATTATAGTTTATTTAGGAAATCTTGATAGAAAAGAACTACATTGAGTATTGAAAACACTATCTAAATTTGAGTTGATTGCTTAACATTATTGAAAAATACATGGTTGTTAAACTTGCTTCCACTACGTGACTTATTTTATCAATCAGACGAAGAAAATATTTAATCAGTTTCGTTTCCAAATTGTTTAATCGACTCTGAATGTTTTTTGCTCCACGCATACATGATGGTCTATGCAATCAAATCGTAATTTACCAGCTATAATCGTTTGATCAGTGTCATAGACATTGAATTTTGCTTGAAATAAAGACAAAATTAATGAGACGGAACGATTTTCTTCAACTGATGAGAGATATTATTATAACTTCAGTTTTTTTCATACATTGATTCGAGAATGAGAAGTTTTTTTTGTACATCGTAATTATTTGACAAGCACAAGATCCTTCAATTAGTAAGAGTGTTTTTCATTGAAAATAGATTATGAAATAATCAGATAAGAAAAATCTTAGGTTTTTAAAAATACAAAGTAAATCATTTTACTATAGTTTGACGAAAAACACACAAATTAATTATTCGTCGAAGGTCTCTATGATTTACTGTTTAAGTTATTCGATCTATTATTTTTCTTTCTTTTCAAAAATATTGTATTAAAATATTGGCGTCATCATTCGTCAAATAACCTTGACTAAATCATTTTCAACTGTCGATATCAAAGTACCCATTTGATAACATACTTACTATGGGTCCGGGTCATTTGGCCGACAATCACTTGGCCGACACATCACTTGACCGACACCATTTCGCCGACAAATTGTTTGGCCGACATGTACACTTCACCGACAACTCATTTGGCCGACAAATATTTGAAGTAAAATAAAATGAAATTTCTTGAAAATATTGCGTCAGAAAATCTTTTTATCAAAAGTCACATTTATTTACAATGAAAGATTATGGGCAATGCCCCGAAGAAAATCGAACTTAACTCACGGGAAACAGTTTGTTAACGGGAGACTTGTTTTAACTGATACAAAATCGTCGTCTGATTTTATTTTGAAAAATGTTCACTATTTACAGGTGAATGAGTGGGAAAAATCCACGCAATATTTTCAAGAAATTTCAAGTTTTTTTATCTCAAATATTTGTCGGCCAAATGAGTTGTCGGAGAAGTGTACATGTCGGCCAAACAATTTGTCGGCGAAGTGGTGTCGGCTAAGTGATGAGTCGGCCAAGTGATTGTCGGCCAAGTGAACGCGACCCACTTACTATCTTCAAGCATACATCGACTATTGTAACTAGTATTCAGTTAGTCCATATGTACGAAAGAATTCCACGGTCCAAAAGAAGTAGACTAAGTTAGCTTAATCTTTTATCCAGAGCTACAGCTAATATAACTTTTAGGAAAAATATCAAGGTAAGAAAAACCATTTGATGACAGCACTGTACACCATACGATCGTGGAAGGATGTAGTATTCTTCTTATTTTATTCATTCTTTGTCTATCACAAAAAAAAAACTATTGCTCACCGAATTGATCTTTGTTGATATTTATAAAATGCATAAATATTTGAAATATAATAAATGGTGTTCAATAAAGATCGGCTCCGTTTGTACTTTTTTTTTAAATATTTGTCGTATTTAAAGGTGATTGGGTGTTGATGGGATATATCTTGGAAGAGGATCATCTAAGCTTTCTTTCAAAAGTAATTGCATTTAATTTACAATAACCTTTAGAGAGTGTTGCACTAGTAAAAATGTTGAAAAACTTGCACCAAGTTTTTTTATTTTAAAATTTTTTTCTGTTAAGGTTAGGAAAAATACAAGTGACTCACTATGAACCACATTTTTAGGTATGCTCTTCAAATGAGGAAAAATTTATTTTTGCGTACACATAGGAGATAACGGCAACATAATATCATGCTAGAATTAGAGGCATACAAGTTTAGAGACTACGTATCTTAATCGATGTGTATCACAAGGAATTAAATGGATGGATGAAAGATTGACACAACAGAAGTCAAAGTGGCTTAAAATGACTTACTGAATGTCACGGCGATTTTGAAAAGTTTTAATTGAATTTTTTGACCCGAAAAAATAGATGCTCAAATTTCTCTCATATAGTTAGCGTTGTTTGACTGTTATTTTTTAAACTATGATTGTATTCTTATCTTAACTTATAACGAATAACGATCAGAATAATTCACTTCTAAAACTAATAGTTTTGACACAGATTTCCATTACCCTACCTTTCCTATTTAAAAATATTGATATTAAACGTAAAACAAAATTTCAAAAAAAAAAAATTTTAAATATTTTTACTAATGCAACACTGTTAGAGCTCATGTTAATTGAGTGCAATTTATTTTGAGTGATAGTTTAGATGTTACTCTTCAAAAATTTGTCGCATTCATGTCCAATAATCTTTAAATACGACAACAATTAAAAAAGCTAAAAATGAAGTCAATCCTTATAGAACACTCTTTTTACATTAGCTAATCATGTTCAATATTGACTTTTAATATTGTTTCGACAGAGTTATTATTTTCTCTACTTAATCAAGTTTCTTTTAGATTAAATTGAAATCTATTTGTGAATTTTACTCGTGTTTTGTGTGATCAATGAAAAAATTTATTTAGTAGATATAACTTCTCGAATCAATACATATCTATTAAAATACATTCAACCATATTGATTTTTTTTCAATATTTCTTTTAAAGTATAAACTACTTTTCCATCTATATTTATCTACTAGCGATGATTTTAGTTGATATGACTCAGGTAAGACAAAAAAAAGAAACTTATATGATCACTTTAGTCAACATTTAATATGCAAACGAATGAGATATATCATGCGTGCGATGAATTTGAAAGTCAAATCGAAGTTTTGCATATAGGGTTCATAGTCTTCTTATTTACAACCATAAATATATAGTATTATTTATCATTTATTGCACTCAAATAGGCCTCGAAATGTACGTGCATTCACTGATAATTTTATGATCATAAAATACAAAAAACATTTGTACTTTACAGACATCTTGATATTAGTTGTGATGAAAACAAGAGAATGAGCTTTCAAAGGAGTTTTTTGCTGAAATTAAATTCATAAATGTTCTTCTTTTCGTTATAAAAAGTTCCTAGCATTATCATTTCTTAGTCTATGAGACCGACAGTAATTGTCTATATCCATTATTTTCTTCTTGTTACTGATTACGTGTGACATCTAGACAAGAAGATTTACTATGGAACAATAAGCGACACTCTTCTGTCTATTATCTTGAACTTTCCGACTCGAACTCGATATAGGCTATGTTCACACTAGACGAAGTGATTTAAGTTAAATCACTTCGTCTAGTGTGAACATAGCCATAGACAATGTTTATGAAATGATTGGCGAATTGAATGATTATATTGTCATTCTTTTCGTCGTGGTCTCTCTCCATCTTTGTTACTCTTCGACTATATAATGTTGTATTCACATATGTTATCACAACATTTTCTAATTTGTGATATTATTAATTCAATGTGCAAGAAACAACAGAAGGATCAAATGTTGAAAGAAAAAATGATAAAAGTAGGGCTTTTTAAGTGTGTTTCTTTTGTACTCGCCGATTGTTTAAAGCTAAAACCATAGAAACATGTGAGCCATAGTTCACATTCTTCTATCACCTTCTAATCCATCGGTTCGAATTGTCATAATTATAGCATCTCTAAGTCTAGTCATCTGTCGCTTAACATTTATTAAACTTTTAGATTATAAGTCATTATATGTTTCCTCTACAACCAATTAATATTGGTAATGTACAAGTAGGTGCAGTTCTATAATGCACGGTTTTTTTTTCTCTGCATGAAAATACTAACATACATTTCTTTTTTGTACTTCTCGATTAATATTACATCTATCTTTTGTTTTCCGTTGTTTAGAATGTACCAATTCCACATGCATCACCATTTCAAGTTCAAGTATTGCAATTACTGAATCAACAGCAGCGGCAATTGCAACGATTGCAACTACTAGTGCAACAACTGCAACAACAATTACAGCCGCAACAACAACAACAACAACAACAAGGTAACCTTCAGTATTTCTTTTAACACTGCAGATTATGTGTTTTCGTTTATATATATATATATATATATTTTTTTTTTTTTTTTTTTTTTTTTTGAATTTCTAGTTAATGGTGGCCAAGTAGCTGTTCTCGGTCATGGTGGTGGTCAAGTTGCTGTTGTCGGTAATGGTGGTACTCAAGCTGCTGTTCTCGGTCATGCTGGTGGTCAACTTGCTGTTCTCGGTCATGGTGGTGGTCAAGCTGCTGGTGTCGTTCGTCGTGGTCGTGGTCAAGCTGCTGGTGTCGTTCGTCGTGGTCGTGGTCGTGGTCAAGCTGCTGGTGTCGTTCGTCGTGGTCGTGGTCGTGGTCAAGCTGCTGGTGTCGTTCGTCGTGGTCGTGGTCAAGCTCCTGTTGTGGTTCGTCGTGGTCGTGGTCGTGGTCAAGCTCCTGTTGTGGTTCGTCGTGGTCGTCGTCAAGCTCCTGTTGTTGGTCATCGTGGTCGTGTTCGTCGTATTGCTGGTGGTTAATATAACATTTTCTTTTTTTTATTGTATTCAATTATTTTTTTTTTTTGTTGAATTATTTATATGTACATTTTAAATATATAATAAGGATTTTAAAATATTATTATTTTGATAAAGAAATTTAATAGCAGAAATAAGAATATAAAAACCCAATATGATTCTTTTTCGAATCAATCATTAACAAACACAAATGAAGAATAATAATTGAAAATAGGTACAGGATAATATTAGGAAACGCCTTATCAAAAGCTTTAATAATTAGTGCGGGACAAAAGTTTCATCCCTATATGAACTCGTTCATTTCGCATATAATTAGAAGCCTGAAAAACATGACACCGTTATCACACATAGGATTACCTGAAAACTCATTACTCATATTCAGTTTTTGTGTTTTGTCATTATTACTGTTCAGATTTATTAGCTAATTAGAAGGAGTAAAATATGCAACATCTGACATATATAAATAATGCTTATCTGCTCGAAAAAAAATTCAAAAGCACGTAAAGCAACTCAGTATCGTAGCGTGTTAACTTCATAGTGATCGTCGAATAATTACTTATATTTTTGCTCACTTGCATGAAATAAGACTATTGATTGAAACCTGATAGATTATATGAGAAAATTTCTCTCATCAGAGATCAATAACAATTAATTGACAATTATATATTGAAATATTTAACTGGCACTTCCAATCACTATGTCTTCAATGAGTTCAGTGCCTAAGTCAGTTGATGTGCATTGATAGATACATAGATCTCTATTTTTAGTCAAGGACAAAATGCCTATACATTAAACGAATCTTTTCATATGCTTTCATGTACAATTCTAAATGAACTTAAGCGAAAAAAGAATAACTAACAACACAAAAAAAAGAAAATGATTAATGTTGTTTTTATTATATTTGTTATGATCTACAGTGGACGTCATAAGTCTCGCACCACTTTTTTGTTTTAGTTGGCATCTCAAAAATACACGACATAAATTTAAATTTCTTTTTATCTTCAGATAGCGGAGCTCTAGTACTATATGAATGCATGTTTTTGAAATGAATAACTCTTGAAGCGAAAACATACGAAAAAAAGATAAACTTCAGTACTACAACAAAAACTACTCAAAAAAAGACAAAATGGTATGATTGTTATGAGTTATAGAAGTTTCACTAAAGTTGAAGTAATACGAAACTCGTGTAAGACTTTGTTTAATATTTTTACATGAATTGATAGATCTCGACGAGCTCTACAAAACTATCTGTATTTAAATTTTTTAGAACCATTTTCTGGGACTAAAATTTGTAATAAAATTGTGATTTTTACCCTTTTATAGCATAAAAAAGATTCTTGACTTTTCATATAGAACAAACGAAGCATGCAATTATTTTGTAATCTTTTTTGTCCCCGAAGAGAATTCTAAAAAATTTTAATATAGACAGTTTTGTAGAGCTCATCAAGATCTATCGATTCATGTAAAAATATCAAACAAAAAATTATTCGATTTTCACATTACTAGGGTCTTACTCAAACTCATAACAATCATACCATTTTGTCTTTTTTTTGGGTAGTTTTTGTTGTAGTACTGAAGTTTGTTTTTTTTTCGTATGTTTTCGCTTCAAGAGTTATTCATTTCAAAAATATGCATACATATAGTACTCGAGTTCTGCTATCTGAAGATAAAAAGAAATTTCAATTTATGTCGTGTATTTTTGAGATGCCAACCAAACCAAAAAAGTGGTGCGAGACGTATGACGTCCACTGTATGTTGTAAAAAAAAAAAGAAACGAAAATTTTTATTATGAGTACGAATAAAAAAAACAAAGATGCTTGATAATTATTGTTTTTGTTTCCGTCGTTGAAAAGTAATAGAAAAAATATATATATTAATAGAGTTTATGAAATTTAATATTAGTCTTAAAATGATTTTAATTCTCGTACATAAACACTAATTTTATAGAGAGAAATTATTGTATTCTAACGTTTATGTACATGGTAGACACTA